CCACATGTTACCTCATCTATCTGGGGTCCCCCACCTCCATGTAAACAGGACGTTAGATTGGACTACAAGTAGGAGATTTAGAGCGAGTGGAAGATCTCAAACCAAGTTCAAGATAAAAGCTTGCCATTCATCTTACGTCGCTTTTTTAATCACAAGGAAGGATTGGGTCCTTTGTGGACATAACTTGCTCGAAAGTCTAAAGCAGTAGACGCAAGCTTATTGATGTTTTACCTGAGAAAACAGCTGACATTTTGCGATGACACCGCTGGTTTTGACGATCGAGGAACGAGCGCAGAAATTTCTTCTGATGACGCGACCGTACCCGGATCCGGAATGGGTAGTGTTTCTGATTGGTTGAAATTAGCAAAAGGAAGCACTGTCATCAGTATGGAAATTCAAGTCTGCGCTCGCAGAAACCAGTGGTGGAGTCGCGAAATGTCGGATTTTTTTCACAGGCTACCGATACCGTATTTATTCGAATAAGCGCACAACTTCAAGTTAGCGCCCACCTCCACCCCACCCCTCCCCCTCCCACTCAGACTCAAATAAGTGCCAACCCCCACCCCAAAAAATTGAATAAGTACTAATGAGAGACTTCTCCGAAATAGGAGTTTTCTTCAGAGTATTTACAGAAGCCTTGCTTTATTACATCTTCGCGTTTTATTATTACCATTTATTGTTTTGTTGCAAAATAAACATGCTTCACTCACTAAAAATGGGGAAAATTTAGTAAGCGCTCACCTCGAATACGCGCCCACTCTCAAGGTCCAAAAATTTAACAAGCACCCTGGGCGGTTAATCGAAAAAATACGGTATTTAAAGTACGAGAACTGAGAATTCTTAGCCCAATGCATATCAGGCAGGCGCATCGTACATGTTGGTGTTTCCATTCTTACATTCACTAGACATGTCTTACCGTCTTCACTTGTTCTTTCCGTCACAACAGAGCTTTTCGGTCCACCCCCAGCATAGGTGAATGCAGACACTTGAATATCGTATTCTGTGTATTTCTCCATCCCAGTAATCGTTTTAGAAAGAACAGTTTCACCGTCAACGGTGACAGTGTTCGCTTGACCGGAGGCGCCTGTTTTCTGGTAGTACACTGTAAATCCCGCAATAAGTCCATTTCGGGATATCCCGGGGGGTAGCTGCCAGTTCACTGAAATACTAGTTGAGTTGTTGACTGTCAAACCCAGGTTCGTAGGGGCTTGTGAAGGAGCTGAAAATGGGAAGTCAAAAGGTCATTTTTGTGATGACGAAATTTGGCTACAACTACCAGAAGGCATTTCGTTTTTATATTCTTGTTTAAATTTGTCAATCCTGCAGAGATTTTTTAAAAAGAATTGCAATAGCCTTAACTTGCAGAAGAAAACAGCAAACTGAAGGGTTTTGGTAATTGGAGAAAATGACATCATCGTGCAATTGTCCTATTATTAAGTCAATAGACTTCTTTAGCTTGTATGTTTTGTTTCCCAATACAGGCCATGTGATAATACTCTAGAGAACTGTTTCTTGCAAATTACATCTAATTCACGTGCATCACTCCACATAATTTATGAAGAGATAAAGGGTCAAGTTTCCCTGAGATCTCTATTGGGAAAACAAAACATACAAGTTAAAGAGGTCTATTGATTAAATATTTTGCTAATGATGAAGGATAAATAAAAATTACATTATTATATTAATATAGAAATATTATACAACTATCCCCGAAGGGGAGGTAAATAGTTCGAGATATACCGAGACGCGAAGCGGAGAGGTATATATCTAGCGCTTCATTTATCGCTCAAATTTCGTCTTCCAAAATTGTCTCCAGACGAGACGCCATTTTTGCTCCGGTTGCAAAACAGTTAATGGCGAAGGATATTCAGAGTTACGGGAGCCAATCAAAATGCCCCAAAATTCCTATTCACTGATTTGGTAAATACTAAATTGATATATAGAGGATAATACACGGCCACGCGGAGATACGAAATCTCTCTTTGAGTGCTGAATAATATTAATAATATTTTTTAACACGAGAAAAGAAATTTCGTATGTCCCAGCGACCATGTAATGTTCCATTTATAAACACCAATGAGATACCAGTCCATGTAACTTTGCTAGTTTTTCTTTTTTGCTGTAAAAGGCGCGATTTATTATGTAGCCATAGCGACGGTGATCTTTTCACATGTGAAGATAACCCATGTTATTTTCACTTGTAAAGATATCCACCCGGTTATTTAAACCGAGTTTAACCAGTGTCTAACAAAACCGCGTTCTATGTTATTTTCAGTTGCCCAACGCTTTTATTTAAACACCATTTGTCGTAGACAATTTCATTAAAGCATACACTGTAGACTAAAAAAGCATTTCTCGTTTAAATAACCGACCCACCATGTTTTCGCGCGAAAGCTTTCCTGCAATTTCCTCGGTGTTTGTATAATAAAATATAGTAAGTTACATTCTTAATCTAATATATAAGTCAGTACTAATATATTTCTTTATCAATGTTAAAAATCTTCAATATAAATGCATTTTAAGAATAACATCAAATTAAAATAACGAAAGTCCCCGAAAAGTCAAGGCAGCTTCCACCTTCATCATCTGTTCCCCAACAGTGATATAAATAAAACGACAAAACAGATATGTAGATAAATTAACAGTCATAGAAAGCGGGGTTGGAAACCTAATCGGGCGTATGCGAGTAGTCAACGATTTTCATTCGCCCGACGCGCTTTCACACTCATGCGAGTGGGCCAGCGCTAATGCTAATCTCTGAGAAATGGCAAAATGAATTAATTATCGTATCTTCATAAGAAAGGCTAGCACTTGATCATAGCTCACGGCGAATACTTACCCCCCACGTCTGTCCTCACAGTTTTAACAGAACTTGGCGGTCCATCACCCATAAGTGAAAAAGTTAACACCTGAAATTCATATTTTGTAAATATCCCAAGTCCAGTGACTTCATGGCTAAGGCTAGAGTTGCTTTCAATCGTTATTACGGTAAGTGGATCTTCGACAGAGCTAGAGTTTCTATACAGGAGCCTGAATCCTGTAATCATCTGGAAGTCTGCCGTTGGTAACTGCCAGGATGCTCGAACACTAGTGGAGGAGGAGGGGGTCACCGTAAAGCTGGTGGGAGCACGGCTTGGCGCTAGAAGAAACGCAAGTAAACGAATAATGAAATCTACCTTTTATTTTTTATTGTTAATAGCCAGTTATACACTGTTACAAGTAGAAACGAGGCTGGAGTTGACCTTGTTTTGATACAACCCTTCCTGGTCTATTATGTACATCATGTTGTTCATATACAAACAAAACTTTTTTAAGCATAATTTCCATGAGTAAAGGAAGGAGGTGTTTCTCAAGGTCAACCTCAGCCTCACATTCACTCAAAGGCTAGGGCACTACGCGCACATCTCTAAAATGGCCTATTCTAGTTTTCTATACATGCTACGTCGCCCTAGAAATTCGAAGACACGCCTACAATCAGTAAGGTTTTCGAACAAACTTCAAAACGACCCCTAATAATTTCGGCTATCGAAAAAATTCGTTAGGTAATCTCAAGTTTTTCTGAAGCTTTCACTGTAGGCTGGTATTTTTGGGATGGGCGACAACAAGCCCTAAAAAAAGTCGCGAGGTACTAACTGCCCCTTAAGACAACAGAACAGTTAAAACTTTTAGAGCGATGCGAATTATTCATTTTTAATTGCTTTTGAAACACTCCAGGAAGCCTAAAGGGAAATGCGGAGAAAACGCTCGTTGGGTGTCCCTAGAACGGAAAAAAAAGAGAGATTGTTCGTGGTCTATTCGAGACGATAACGCCCCAAAATGTACAGTATTCTTTTCTTTTACACAACCGACGACTTGTAACGGTTGTAGGTTAGGGAAAAAAGACGCCTTACATTTCATCCAATGATATAAGTACAAACTAGAGGAATAAAGAACGTTGGAAAACGCGTTTATGATTCTTCTGGTTTATGAATATCGAAACTGTGGGTATATAAAACGGGAACCGACATTAAACTGGAATCTTTACAAAATTTACCTGCTGTTGTGAGTATTCCATACACTTCTACTCTTAAAGCTTTTCTAGTTGAAGACTCTGTTGGCCGAAAGCGGATGACCCTCGCTCTAACTATACCGACCAGACTGTGTTTTACGATATCGTTCCTCCCATCATTGGCGTTAAAAATCTGCAGTGTGAACATTGTGGTAAATTAAACGTAACTACTAGACTAAGAAAATAGGCTCTAACGCTTCCGTTTTTGGTGCAAAAGTTACCTTGGCAATTTTTTCCCAGGTCAAATCACTTACCCGGCGGTAGAAGGCAACTTTCCCTAAGGGTTGATTTCCGCTGTCGCGTATTTTTTCCTTGCGTAAATGAAATAGAGGAATTGTTTGAAAGGCCACGCGTACATGTAAGAGTTAAGTGAGGGTCGACTTTTACGTTTACGCATGACCTTCCATACATTGCCTCGATTTTATTTACGCACGTAAAAATTACCCAGCAGTGGAAATCCGCCTTTAGTAAACCTAAGATCAGTTAACCTAGAAAAAGTTGTCTCGTGTAACTGCAGCAAATTTTATTCTTGTATTTTTATATAAATTAAATCTTTTCAATTTACCTTTCTTCAAATTGTCCATAATACATCTTGTTACACTTATTTAAATATTTAATCATTTTTAGTTAAACGTCCGAGTTCAGAAACTCTCACCTTCAAAACGAGGCTATGCGCAGACTTTTTATTGAGAAAATGAGTTTTAATACAATGGCTTTACACTCAGCCTCAATTTGAATCCGAGGCTTAGGGGCAAATTGGAAATGGTCCATTGCGTGGTTCTAATAGACCGTTGTCACGCCGCGGTCATTTTGTCTCAGGAAATTTAAAAAGCTTTGCTTATACACGGCTAGCCTCTTAGAGAGAACGAGGCTAGCCGTGCATAAACAAAGGTTTTAAAATTTCCTGAGACACAATGGCGGCCGCGAGACAAAGGTATATTACGTTCCAAGTTTACTTCAGGTTGTCCAAACACACCTTGTCAGTGTCGTTTTCTTGATAAGTAGACCAAGTTGAGTTATCCAGGGAATGAATTAGTTTGTACTTTGTTGTCCAGTGATCGTCACTTGAACTTCCTTGAGTGGCCACGGCGCAGATAAAGAACTGGTCTTTCAGGTCAATTTGTAAGTAGTCGTTGTCATCATCATTTCCGCTAGGTGACCAGGCACCATCTCCGTTTAGACGACCTTCGGAAGCTTCATTACCAGAACGATGAGTCGAGGCAGAGAAACTGTTGTCTGGGATAGCGTCACTGCTGGCCAGACCGATAGCCTGGATTTGGCACGCTAAAAAAGGATATTTATAACTTAATCATATGTTGATTGAACCTTCCGAGGACAAGAGTGACAGACTTTTTCGGTTATATTATCGTCCCTAAGTAAGTATCATGTTCAAGATTAAAGGGGCTACCTCACGCCCTTTGCTATGTTTTTCAAATGTTAAAACGTGTCCTTGCTCAATTGAATTCAAAGGTCCATTTTTTGTTATTCAGGGCTGTATTAAACTGTTCCTGTCTTCTACTGCAATGGATGGCAAAAGTGGACGTAAACTAAAACTTGAAAATGTTTGGCCAAATTTTTCAAGTTGTAATGCGGTGCCTAGAATAATCACCGAAAAAAATTATAATGTGTAGAAATATCCTTATCCCCACCCCCCTCCTCGGAGGGCAACGGAAATTCCGAGGGGAGAGAAGGTCCAAGAGAAGGCAATTTTCCAGGGGGTGGGGATTTGCTTCCCAAGTTTGGTTCCAATTACGGTAAGGCTCTCGGTACATTAACAAGAGCTCGTACTGATGTTTGGATCCAAAATTTAAGACTTTTCCAGACATAATTCCAAACCAATAGTTTTTTTTCTCCAGAATCAAGATTATCAATTACAGTCGACCCTCCCGTAAGCGACCATCCAAAATACAAAGACTGAGTGGTCGCTTACGGGAGGTAGTCGCTTACAAGAATCGAAGACAGAAAAAAAAAAAAAAAAAAACTGGAATAAACTACGAAAAATATTTTTGTTCCATCGAATGTAAAAACCCAACCATAGGGGCTGACCCTTATCCCGGAAAGAAATATAAACCTCCAAGACAGAAAAAGCCCACATATAAACACAACCAAAACAACACATCGTATGACATCTTCAGCTTAAAAAAAAAAAAAAAAAAAAACTGGAATAAACTACGAACAATATTTTTGTTCCATCGTATGTAAATACCAAAGCATAGTGCATGACACTAATCCCGGATGGTTCTGTACCTCTCCGTGCGGAATAAACTTCAACTTCGCAGAAATTTAGTTCTTCTGTCCTTTCATGTATTCGTATGGTGACGTATCTCCCGTACAAACTTGGGCGACAGAAGAACGAGGCACCCTGGCCACCAGGAACTCTATGGCCATCCCCACACTTCGGATTGGTGATACCTCCGTTACTCGAATTTATTCCTGAAATATACATGTACAGATTGGGCTTATAGACCCTTTTCACGATACTCGCCATCTTTGCATTGTTGGCCAACAACTCCCAACATTGTTGGATGTTACATGTTGCCCCCGTTTGCACATCTTGTTGCATGTTTTTGCGTGTTGTTGGGAGTTGTTGCGAAATATGTTAGAAACCGGTAATAACTTTTAGCCCCGTGCAAACGGACGCAACATCGTTGGCCAACAACTCCCAACATTGTTGGGAGTTGTTGCATCTGTATGCACTAGCTTAAAGACTGATGGTATAAAAGCAATGTCACGTGGTTTCTTAGGAGGCAAACGAGTGCTAAAGTTGCCAATTCAAGAAATCGCGGTCGAGTTTGTTTATTCAAGAAAACAAAAAATGATGGTAAATAATGACAGGAAGTGATAATTGTTTCTTTTCTGGATGCAGTAGTGACCGTAGATGTCCTCACAGCAATCAAAGATGGCGTAAAAACTTCGAAATTCGAAATTCGAACTGTACATTTTGCAAGAGTAAAATCGTCGTACCGTTTTGACAGAATAAACAAACTCGACCGCGATTATTCCTATTAGCAAATTTTTTCACTTGTTTGCCCCCTGAAATACCTCGTGACATTGCTTTTATCCCATCAACCCTAAAGCGCGTGCGAAGATGGCGGGTATCGTGAATAAGGGCTATTTAAGAATTAGAATACATATACATGCATTAAAATCTAAAAATCACTTTTTTAATGCAAAATACAGTTTGTAGAAAATACTAATTGCCCACGTTCAATATATTAAAATTCTAACATGACCCCGAGGTTTACTGGTCATTTTTTTTCTATATTCGTTTTGGTTTTCTTTGTGCTCAAGTCTTTTCTGGGAATAGCGAGACAAAAAATTGCAAATTTTCCACGACTTCATTGTCTCGCAATTCCCAGAAAAGACTTGAGCACAAAGAAAACCAAACCGAATATAGAAAAAAAACCCCAGAAAGTCTCGGAGTCATGTTAGAATTTTAATATACTGAACGTGGGCTATTAAGATGAATTCTGTGTTTTCACTCACGTGGCCAGCATCTATGCAAATTCATTGGAACAAAAGAAAGCGTTTACATAAGAAAAGAGTTCAACTCCCACAGGACTGGTTTAGGACACAAACATGGCCGCCGTTTCATTGTTTGGGGACAAAAAAATATGGCCGCCATGACGTCATGTGAAAACACACAATATATCACTCCAATGCACGTATTTAACTCGTGATCTACAAGGAAAATGCACGCACACTAACAAAATATTTACTGTCTTTACCAGAAATGTTTACTCACCCACTCTGATCTCGAAAGGATTCAATCTGTTCTCACAACAGTCTCCTCTGTTTACGACGTAAACTTCATTCACTAGCTCCACGTTTTCCAAGTCTACTCTCCACCAGGGCTGTTTTTCCAAACGCGTGTGTGCACATGACCCGCCAAAAAAGTTAGTATTGCTGTTTCCGTCCACGGCGTTGCTACTGGCACCCGTCGCATCACCGAGGTTAAAAGTACTTGACTGATTCGTGTCCTTTAGATACGCTAAATTTTCTTCAAAGAAACCAGAAGGTTGTTCAATAATGCTGTTCATTCTAATGCAAAGATCATGTTCACTTTCATATCCTTACCCGCAGCTCAAGATTAATATGATTCATTTCATCAGCCTAAATTTCAGCCATCTCCTTGAGTCGCATAGGGGACGTCTAAATCAAAGAGCCTCTTATGCCGTCCAGTGACGTCATTACCCGAAAACTAGGTAGTTATTTTCATTGGTTGATTGTCCAAACACTTGCATAATTATGTATAATTATGAGAAATTTTAGCGTAACTGTCATGTGATATTCAGCGGATCGCACGCTTGCGTAAAGTTCAAAATTTCGACAATCTTTAAAGAGCAAAATATCCCATGTCTTCGAAATTATGACTTGTTAAATTGAACTACGAATGAAGAATCAATGCGAAAAGGCGGTAGGTTTTCATTGAAAGCTGCCTTGTGGTTTTGGCAGTGATTTTGTTTGTTTGTTTGTTAAGGACCAAATAGCTCTTTTTAAATTAAAGCAAATTGAAGGAAGAGACGTCCTCTGTGTGTTCATTATTACGTGTGGCCGCGATCAAGTTTAATGTAGTGATATATCTTTGTTTGCCAGCTTCCAATCTTGTTTTGTTTTTTTTTTTTGCATAAATTATAGCAGAGGAGTAGTGGCGTCATTGGACGGCATTTTATTACGTGTGGCCGCGATCAAGTTTAATGTAGTGATATATCTTTGTTTGCCAGCTTCCAATCTTGTTTTGTTTTTTTTTTTTTTGCATAAATTATAGCAGAGGAGTAGTGGCGTCATTGGACGGCATTATCGGCTCGTTGATTCAGACTTCCGTTCCCAGGGCATGTGACTCGAGGTCGGGGACGTCTGATATTCAGGCTATCATTTCTTAGTAAATTCCAACTAGTGGTCTATTATCAATGCTGCGTTCTGATTGGTTGAGCTACTACTAGGTTATATGTTATAGCCCACTAGTAGCGAAAAGCGACGACTTTTTGGCGGCAAAAAAGGATTTAAGTCTAGCTTTAACTAGCTAAAGCTGTTTTGTCTCGTTATTTTTGCCCAACTAGTTGGATTTTACTAGAACAATTCCTTCGGCCTCATGGGCTATTGACTCAGAGCCCATTCGGGCTCGAGGAATAATTGTTACATATATTTCAATTCAATAATAAAAATTAATTAATTAATCAACAATAAAATGACAAGTTCTCTGTATATCAAGGTACATTAATATTATGTCAAAAGAAAAAAAACTAAGAGTGGAGCCACCAATCGCCACAAATAAGGTTATCCAGATTACGAAATCCGGCAAATTTTTCCATGTGGAATCCGCCATCCAGGGCTTTGGATTTCGGAATTTAGCTCAAGGAATCCGGAATCCTGACTAAAAATGGGAATCCGGAATCCATGTCCCACAGACAAAGAAATCCGGAATCCATGACCCACCGACAAAGAAATCCGGAATCCACAGCTTGGAATCCAGAATCCAAGACTGATTCGGTTTACCTCACATGGGGCGACGCCAGCCTGACCAACAGCTCCAAGTAACCTTCATAAAGCATCATTCCTCTATTCCCCTTTGTTTCTACAGCATGCATGTATGTTGCTTGAACTTACCATAACTGCGGCTTATAACCGATAACTGAATTTTTTGAGTAACTTGATCTTTAACTCTTTTTTTTATCGCAATAGCATTTTGTTACTAATATGACTGGTGTAATTATCATTAAATTTCCACCCTGCTCCCCCTAGAGTCTCCAATAGCTCACTGTATAGACCATCCGAACTGGAAATCAGAGGGTCGTGAGTTTGATTCTCACATGAAACAAGGGGTTTTTTTCTAAGCTTTCTGCTCAAATGGGCCCTTTCCATGTTTTTTTTTCCAAGCTTTGACATGGACAAGTTAAGGAAAGAACGCCTTTAAATTACTAAAATTGCCATGCTTGAAGTGATTTGTTGCAGATTAACGAAGATATAGCTCCTGAAAGTCGCGAAATTTACAGACGTTTGTATGGTGGGGGGCACAAACTTGCCCCATCACCACATAAACGTCTATAAATTTTCGCAACTTTGCGGAGCTATAATTTCGCTCATTTAAGACGTATCACTGTCAAACTTGGCGAGTTTACTCATTCTAAGACGCTCTTTCCAGTGGTGTCGACGGATTCTCCCTAACTAGCTAGTCCATGGCAAACGCTGAAAAACCGTGGAAAGGTCGATTGACGCAAGAACCAACTGGAAGTTGGTTAAGAGCGATGCAAATTTCAGACTGTTACCTCGCGAGTAAACTTCCACCTCACAAAGCTGAAGAAACTGTCTCTTCGTAGTTTTAATTCCAAGATATCGGCCAGTTGTCAGTGGATTTCTGTGACACACAGCGGAAGCTATAAACTGGATAAAAGTGTACTCTCCAATGCAAGCAGGATTGTTGAGTACATTATCGCTGTTACCTAATATAACAAAACAAAATGAAAGTCCTAAAGTCACTTAAGCTACGATAATGCGGACAAGAGAAACGTGCAAATTGTTTTGTGGCCTGACAAAACAGCCGACCTTTCGCAACGCCACCACTCATTCTCTTTTTCCCGCAAAACGCCGCCTTGAAAAAGGAGCGCAGAAATTTCATACTGGTGACGTGTCACCACCCAGATCTGGAAAGTGCTTCTTATTGGTTGAACCAAATCCCCTCGCAAGAAGACCGACCAGAAGTTCTACTCAGATCTGGAGAGTCGTTCCTCAAACGTCATATCGCAGGGAAACTAGTCACTGAGTGGTGGCGTCGTGAAATCAGTACTGTTTCTCAAACTACAATTTTCCACCCACAAATCAAATCTGTCTTGCAACAAATCAGGTTGTTACAGGTTGCGGAAAGTTATTGTAGAACTTTGCAACAAAATCTGTATATAATTCGCTTTGTACCGACCCAAGAAAGTGAAGTCACTCCTCCTGCAAGACAGATTTGAGTAGTGTGTGCTCTTACAGTAACTTAAAGAAAGGTATAAAAATATATAAAAAAATCGAAAAAAAAAAGAAAATTTACAATTACATTTAATACATTGTAAATCTGTAGAAGGCAAAAAAAAAAAAATCTAAAAAAATATAAGAGTAAAAAACTATACAATATGGCACAGCTAAAACTTTTCTATTAAATTAGGAAGAATATGGAAAAAAGGCATTGACTAGTTTCCCCTCTTGGGTCAAAATGCCCATTACATTGCCCTTTTACCGGAAGTTTAATTAATCCGCTAGACGTGCCGCCAAGAAGCACAACAGCGCTTTTTACCTTGAAAAGTTCAAGATCTTAAGAAAAGAATCTAAGGCATTGATAAACAGGAAGTTAAAGGAGTATCACACTTCTCTTGGTGACTTTATGACTTCCGCCATAAAACCATATCAAATTCTATACCAGCTAATGTTATGTACGGAGGGCCACAGATATCATAACTTATCCTCTGGAGTGGAGATGGCAGAAGCGTTCAACAAGTCTTTCTCTTCTACGTCTACGCATGCGCCCGAGATACCCCTTGATGCGTTTACGCCACTCGACGAGGGGATGCCCGTCCTTGACAGTTTGGTGCTGTGCGAAGATGAGTTCTATAAGGTGCTCTTGAATTTAAACCAGAGCAAAGCTCTGGGCCCTGGCGGTCTTCCTACAATCGTGCTAAAGTCGTGTGCAAGGGAACTGACACCTACTCTTTGCGGCCTTTTTAATTCATCTCTTGCGGAGGGTAAACTAGCCACCGAATGGAAAGACGCCCTTGTCGTCCTTGTTCGTAAGAAAGGCAAAAAGGAGGACGTAACTAACTACAGACCCATCTCTCTATTGTGCGTTGTATCCAAAGTATTAGAACGATGCATATTCAAGCATTTCGAGGAGTTTCTCTGTCCTTTGTTTCACAATGCACAGCATGGTTTCCTTCAGGGTCGATCCACTGTCACTCAGCTGCTGGCGTTTTATCACGAGATCGGCCAGTCTCTAGATAAGTGCCTGCAGTCGGACATTGTGTATTTGGATCTCGCAAAGGCTTTCGACAGTGTCTGCCACCAAAGGCTGCTTCTGAAACTCTCCCGGTACGGAGTCAGCGGGAAACTTCTGCAGTGGTTCGAGAGCTATCTAGGTGAACGCGGTCAGCAGTGCTTGGTCCACGGTTTCACTCAAGTCGTTCTCCAGTTCCATCAGGAGTCCCTCAGGGCAGTATCCTCTGTCCTTCTGCCGGTAATACAGAATCGTATCACACTCTTCGCTGATGACTCAAAATGTTCCAATGTCACTGAAAGTCTACAAGATTATGAGTCACTCCAAAAGGAAGTGGACAGTCTGCATGGCTGGACCGATAATTGGCACCTAAAGTTTAACACCTCTAAATGTCAGGTACGAACAGTCACACGTAAGCGCCACCTATTTTCGCTACGATTAAAAGTTAAACAAAAATTCACTTAAACACGTCACTCAAGTAAAAGACGTCGGAGTGACTATCTCGTCGGACCTCACATGGGAAACTCACATTAACACTATCTTAGCTAAATCCAATAGGATACTCGCATTTTTGCGCCACAATAGTGTTATGTTATTCACTACAGACCATAGGAAATTACTATATCTCACGTATGTAAGATCATATATCGGCTATGCTAGCAAGGTATGGGCTCCCAGTATGGGCTCTTGGTATTGCTAAAAATACCGGTACTGAGGATGAGCTATGATACACACGGCATTTTTTATATTCATGTAAACTTGCAATATTGCTTACTCAGTTGCGCTTAACAAAAACACAGGTACGACTCCCAACTGGGATTATTTGAAGCTCTTTGTTAGGTCCAAGCTTCCACTGGGAGTTTCTTTTACCATACCTCCAATTACAACTGACTTTGTTCTTGATAGTCTTCGTCATCTACCTACTGGAAAAGCCGTAGGCTTAGATGGACTTAGTGGGTATTTTCTGAAATT